TCAGCACTGCTTTGGTAATAGTAATGCTTGCCCATTGTGTCCTGACTGCGTGTATGTTGTATTTGGTAATGTGTGCGGTCAGATAGGGTCAGGACTGGAAGTCCGATCACAGTGACAGCGAATTTATGGTAGTGTTTTATTATCTGAGGGGCGCGTTGGTTGTGCTGATTCTGTTGATGCTCCCTGGTCGTGAACCTTTGACGACAGCGAAAACGTGACAAAAAACGGAATTCTATCGGGAAATAATTTATTCGATAATTCTTCGGATGTACGTACAACCACATTATTAGAGACAGGGAACGCAGAGGATGTCGTACTCTTGATAAGTCCGTCACTATGCAGCTGCGCAGATCCCAACTTTCCCACAGATATTCTTAACTGAAATGTTAGCTCTTCGACTGGTCACACAAAAATTCCAAGTACTACAGTATCACAACTGGGTTTCCCAAATGACTTGACAAATGTTTAACAATAGGACTCTTCAGGACTGACTCGACTACGTTTAGCCAGCGTAAATAATAATGTTGCCCATGGAAACATATTAAGGATGGGACAGATCAGTTTGTCTGTTTGTGGACTGTGGACTGAAAAAAGTATGACTTTAGCAGTACGTGTCTACTGTAACGCTAAATCACCCGCCTAAATTCATCTTGTATAAGACTGTTGTGAAGTCAACCAGAGGAGTTACCGATGTACGAGTGTATGTGATTGGGTAGCAAACACGCCCTTTAGATAGAGCACCGTCTGAGCGTCTCCTAATTTAACCGTGGCAGTACTCACTTACTGGCGTATTGGAGGGAAGGGGGGTTGATACCATTAGAAACTCATGCAGTTCTTTTTAGAAGTCAGCTGATTACATTGTCAAATGGAGTGGGACAGTGAATACATGCCCACCGATCGTCTGGCCGCATTTCGAACGGATGTTAAGATTTACCTTAACTAGGTGCGGTGGAGTATATGTCGATCCGCAAGAAATTATGAGAAGCACGAAATAGTTTAAACAGCATAGAGCCCGACCATAAAAAGTGGTAGTTGACGTTTTTGATGAATAGAAACAAGGTTTACAAACAGGACCCGGAAGCAGACAGCTACGCACGACTAATATCTTCGCGGATATAAAGTCATGCTTGTGTGCGCTTATTCAACAGCTCAACAGTTCAATTATATTTAAAATTTTGACTGCGACTCCCAAAATAGCCTGTATTTTATGACATCATTGCGTGTACTACATATGGCGCAGGTCGCAGTCAAAGTTTTCAACCGGCCTGTTTCTGCTCCTATTTTCTGCTCATGTTTCTGATGAAGAATCCGCGACGGAGGATAAGTGTCGTCCCAGCGATCGAATCTATTTCTCTGTATTTAAGCCTTCGAACATTCTTCGTTGACGAAACTCGCTCAGATCTTCCATTCCTGACAACACTTGTATATGCTGTTGGCGGTGTAAGTCGTCGAGTAGAAGCAACAGCCGAGACGTAAAAGGTAAACCG